CTCAACGATAAAAAGTGGTAGTGGCTTTTACTATTTTTATGCTTCATTTTCCAAATGTTTAACTGTGTGGCCTCTCTTTCTTTCATCTTTAAGAATGAAATTCGGTACTTTTTGCTCTAATTGGGCCACAATTGTTTTATATGCATCTGGGGATTTTGCTTGAACTTTAATTTCTTCGTCGCCTACAAGTTTAAAGTCGTTTACTTTATCGACAAATATAAACGGAGGCTTAAGTATTTTTTCTTTGGCTCGTTGATTTCCCCGATTTCCAAGGCAGCAGTTTTATTTAATTTAAGCTGATCAGAACGGCTTCGCGGGCACCTTCTCTGACCTCCTCACGCAAACCGACGTTCATGTAGGTGAACATAAGTTCCGTAGTATTGCCACTCTCATCATTCCGGACATCTGGAAAATGGGGAGAGTGGTCCCACTGCTAAAACCTGGGAAACCATCCAACAAAGGAGAGTCTTATCGTCCGACCACTCTCCTTTCCCCGGTAGCGAAGACACTTGAGGCCTTGCTACTACCACGCTATACAAACCACCTGACTCCAGCAAGGCATCAGAATGGGTCCTGTAAAGGGCATAGTACACCAACAGCACGTATCGCCATAGACACACAGATAATTCGTGGCATTAACAGAAACCGCCCTGTGAAAAAATAGTCGTAGTAGCGTTGGATCTGTCAAAGGCTTTGACACCGTCAGTCAGTCCACGCTACTAGAACACATTGAAGCTTCCTCTCTCTCACAGGGACTCAAACGGTGGTCGGTGAATTATCTGACTGGTCGATATCCGTCAGTCATTTTCAGAGACAAAACCAGCAAACCGAACAAAATTAAACAGCGGCCCCACAGAGTGGTATCCTTTCCCCGCTGCTGTTTAATTTTTATATATCAAAGCTCCCTCAAACAAGAGGGAGTTTCGATTGTCTCTTATTCCGACGACTGCTCGACAATGGTGTCTGGGGTTGGAGTCGGTGACTTGTGCTCGAAAGTAAACGGTTACCTCTACGAACTTTCTCGTTCTTTTTTCACTGCAAGGAGCCTAACCCTCTCCGCTAAAAAATCCTCGGCAACCCTCTTTACCACCTACACGAAGGAACTTAGACTACAGCTGGGTATTCGCGTCGATGGCGAACCGATTCCGGCGGTAAATAACGCGAAAATCCTCGGAGTTACACTCGACAGTCTACTCTCCTTCTCGGCGCTCTCGGCGCATACAACCGCAATTGTCATTTAACTACATAGCCGCAACAAGGTCGCGAAGTCGCTAGCCGGCAGCGCCTGGGGCAAAGGCAAAGAAACGTTGTTGGTAACATACAAGGCACTTGGCCGGCCGGTTCTAAACTATGCGGCGCCCGTTTGGTCGACGTTGAAGTAAATGAGCGGTATGTACCTATACTGAGTCCATGGTGATTTTTGTTTACTATTTGGAATGTTTTTCAGGTTACAATTTTTTGTTATTTATTTATTAAAATATGGTTCAAGCTTTAACTCGACTTACTTTCAAACTCTATACAGAGTTTAGAAAAATTCAACAAATTTTCATCAAAATTTTTAACATTTAAATCTGAATTTCCAAAAAATATTTGGGTATGCAGTTACATGGCTTATGAAAATCTAGTAAAACAGGTGCAAGTTTTAAGCGGCTGAATGGTCGCGTTGATTTTTAGTATTTTTTTCTGACGGCTTTTGTGGTTTTTTTCATATAACATGTGCAATTTATGATTTTTTATTTTTCGCAATCTATCTTACGCATCTTATTCTACAAGAAATTTGCGTTTATATTCAACGTGATTTTTTAGTAACTTAAAATTAGTAACTAGAATTGCAGGTAACTGCATACACAATTTTTTTTTTAAATTCAGATAAAAAAGTTCAAAATTTTAATGAAAATTTGTTGAGTTTTTCTAAATTCTGTATATGTAAAAAATTTTCACTTTAAAAACATTGCAAATATTTAAAAGGGTCGTAACCGGTTTGTCTCCAAACCAAACTTAACAGGGGAATGCGCTTTTAAATATGTACATGATGCTTTCCATTTCCAGACAACCGGTCAGGTACGAGCATGATTTTTAATTTCGACCAAACTCAAATACATTGTTTGTTGGTCCAAATAATGAGACACGTATTTTTTCTTTTGGCTCGGAAAATTGTTCGGCCGAATTAAACGCGATTTTGTTTTTTCAGGCAAAAATCGATTATTCGAATTGACAGTGAGAATGTTTTTTTTAAATGCCCATAACTTTGTCAAAATTTAATAGATTCCAACAATGTTTTTACTCAAATGTCAGTAATTCTTGTCACTTCAAGATAGAATGATACAATTATTGATTTTCATTCATTTAAAATTTTTTATTTAACAGTAAACAAAAAGTGCAAATTTTTTTTTTAATTTAATTTCTCAAAAAGTGTATTTTTTTTCTCTCAAACTTTTTTACCGGGAAAGAGACACTTTGAACTACAATCAACCCAAATCTCTAATAGCGAAGATTTTTTTTTTCTGAGTTATGATTTTTTATAGAAAATATACGTTTTTGTGGTACATACTACAATATTCTTATATTGTTTAACTAAATGGAACATATGAATGTAATATATCAGCAAAAAGTACAGCCGTGATCATTTTTTGTGTATCAAATAGATATTAGAACACACTTTCCACCATACAGTTTCGAAATACAAAATCACATTTTCCCACTTTTTATAATCGAAACTGTATGGTGGAAAGTGTGTTCTAATATCTATTTGATACACAAAAAATTATCACGGCTGTACTTTTTGCTGATATATTACACACATATGTTCCATTTAGTTAAACAATATACGAATATTGTAGTATGTACCACAAAAACGTATATTTTCTATAAAATATCATAACTCAGAAAAAAAATCTTCGCTATTAGAGATTTGGGTTGATTGTAGTTCAAAGTGTCTCTTTCCCTATAAAAAAGTTTGAGAGAAAAAAAAATACACTTTTTAAGAAATTAAATAAAAAAAAAATTCCACCTTTTGTTTATTGTTAAATAAAAACTTTTAAATAATGAAAATCAATAATTATATCATTCTATCTTGAAGTGACAAGAATTACTGACATTTAGTAAAAACATTGTTGGAATCTATTAAATTTTGACAAAGTTATGGGCATTTAAAAAAAAATTCTCACTGTCAATTCGAATAATCGATTTTTGCCTGAAAAACAAAATCGCGTTTTATTCGGCCGAAAAATTTTTCCGAGCCAAAAGAAAAAATACGTGTCTCATTATTTGGACCAACAAACAATTTATTTGAGTTTGGTCGAAATTAAAAATCATGCTCGTACCTGACCGGTTGTCTGGAAATGGAAAGCATCACATGATTTCTTCAAGTAGCACGGATTGCTTTGAAATCGAGAGCACACCTACAAAAATACCTGAAAAGGTTTTGTAAAGCTTTAGCGTAAGCCCCTTAATATGTTTAAATATACTATTAAAACTTGCCTATCCGCCATCCTTCGTTTTTCTCACCAAATCCGAAATTAGTTTTCTTCAAGCCAAATTTGACCACGGATGACGGAAATTCGTTGAAAAACATCTTATGCCAGACGCATCCGATAGGCCGAGCGATTTCCAATCGGACAATTTTACCGTCCTAACTGATGCGCAGAATTAACCAGATTACACTGGTTTACAGTAAAAATGCACACTGGATGCCACAATCCAATTCCTATGAAGAATTTCTCTCTGGATCCCAAAATCGAGTTAATTTTTTTCTATGGATGGACTTAATCACGTACATATATCTTACAAAGAAATTAAACAATCTTAATACGAAATGTGGCAGATGAAAGCTAACAAAATTCTCCATAAACCGTGTATACATCACTTCCCGATAGCCCTGATAGTTTTGGTTTTTTCTTTGATAAAAAAAATGAAAAAAAATAATTTAATTTAATAGGGAAAAAACTTTTAAAAATAACAGATTCGTGTAAATTTTTTATTTTATTTGCGTTAAAGCCTGTTCTGTTACAAAAAAATGAATGCTACTAAAGAAGAAAATCGATGGATGAATAAAAAAGAATGAGTATTCAAATGAAAATGCGCAAGAATTTTTTGTGAGAATTCCGTATACTATGAGTAACACTCTTTCCTGCTCATATTTCAATCAAAAATATCCTTGCGCATTTTCAATTGTACCATTCCATTTTTATTTATTCATAGATTTTTTTCTTTAGTAGATTGATTTTTTTGTAGCGGAACAGGCTTTAACGCAAATGAAAAAATTACCAAGAATCTGTTATTTTTTCTCATTTTTTCCCTGTTAAAGTTTGAATTTTTTCATTAATTCAAAAAACCATAAATGTGAAATGATTAATTAATTTCTCAGAAACTATCAGGCCTATCGAAAAGATATACAGTTTATGTTTTCAGCTTTCAATTGCCACATTATATTAAGATTGTTCAATTGGTTCGTAAAATATATGTGATTAAGTGGAACCACTCTTTTTCTTAAGCTGAATAACGGTAAATTGGAAATATCTCGAAAAGTTATCCATAGAAAGAAAATCAACTCGATTTTCGGAATCAGCGAGCGATTTCACATAGGAAATGGATAGGGGCATGTGGTGAACTAAAAAAAAAACGCCAACCGCATTTGTACGCACATATCTGGTTTATATTTCAATTTTGTAAGCAGTGAAACATTTTGACAAATTTTAATTTACAAACTCTAAAAATGTATTTTCGTGGATAATTTTTTCATCCAATTAGTTCATTTTTCGCAGTCCATTTTAGTACTTTTCAGCTGACTCATACATAAGTATATGTAAATACAAGTATTTGATCATGTTGGGCGTATACAGCCGTCACCGGTTGAGCATTATTTGGCCGACACCGGTTGCAGTGTGCGCGAAGCGTTACTCCAACAAACAACATGAATACACACACTATGCCCGTAGCTTGCAATCCAACTTGATCTATTAATGCCTTGTATTTTTGTATTTCCTCTTCATTACATTTAGCACTCAATCATCTTACAAACATCCTGTTAAATCAGAGTCTCCGCTAATGGATGAGAATCGTAGCCCAGATCGAGATATATATCAGCACTTGAACGATGGTCGCATGTCTATTGCTACTGGGCAATCACGCTATATCGAGAGCAACTATAATAACAAGAAAGATAGAAGTAATAACAACGCGAACAGCAACAATGATAATAACAATAATAGGTACAACACCTCAAAGAGTGTTTATAATAATCAGTATAACTATAAGGGCAACGGTAGGACGGGCACCAGTAATGCTAACAACAACGGCAGGGACCCTTACAGGTCGTCGTCCAACTCTAACGGGTCTCTAGCATCCTCACTGCGTAGCTACATGAATATAAATAGGAATCGCAATAACAAAAACTACGGAAAACAAAAATCATTTCCGCCGTTAGCAACTGGCTACGTTGGGTCCTCTGTAGCAACATCCCAAACAAGCAATTATTTTGACGATGAGCACAGTATGGGTATTCCAAGAGCATACCCAGTGCGTCCATCGCATTTTCGTGAACGCAATCGCGCCATATTCAAAGAGGTAAGTATAATTTAATGCGTTCCTACGGAGAAACATATTTCCCTGTACTACCAGCCAGTCATAAACCAAAAGCTGAAAAAACTTGGCAATAAGAACGAATTGGTATCAAAGAAAATGTTACTACTTATCCTTAAACTGATAAAAAAAAGAATGTGGGGGCTCCACTGGCTACAATTGGTCTGCTTGTGGAGAGCTTAGTGAACGCTGGGTCAAGACCTAGGAATGCAATTTGGCTAGGTACTTCTGACCAAGGATGGACCGGCGGCGATCTAGGCAGTTTCTAAGCCCAAACAAAGCACAGCTATCGTTATTGATTAAATTCTAAGCTGGTCGTTGCCCGATTTAAAGCCTTGAGGTAACGCTCAATAATGCCTACAACGGTATGAATCATGATGAAGTGAAATCATCTCAACATCTACTACTCATATGCCTAGTCTTCACGATTTTAAGCTTTAAAGACTATTGATCTCACTTCTATGTCACTACCGATAATATTTCGGGAGTTTATATTTGCCACATTCGGAACTTTATTGTGAACAGTTAGCGGTTTTCTACCACAAACCCTTAGACCCCGTCATTCAATTTCGCTTTTTCTAAATTTTATCACAAAGAACCAATAGCTAGTCCTTGATACTTATTTTAGATAAAGTTTAGATAATTACCCAGTTATGGTAAAGAAAAAAATCACAATATTCCGTGAGATCTCTCGTAGGCCTTGGTGTTACCAAGAAAGTAGAGGCCTAAGCTTATACCTTAGTCATGAAGAGAGTGTTAACAGTCTGATAGTCATTTGGTCCCGAAAACGCCAATAATTCCTGAGAACCCCGAATTGTCCCGAAACTTCACCAAAAATAAAACACTTAACACAAGAAATTCCCAAACAAATGCCGAGTAGTCCCGAAAAAGCAAATTTCTGAAAAATACCGAAAAATAAATAAAGAAAGACCCTGACACATCTTGAACGTTCTCGGTAAAATCCCGAGATTAAAATGTACCAAAAACGTTTCAGAAAATCTTCGGGGAATTTTCCGAAAAAAACAAAAAGTTTTGAGGAATCCCGAAAAATCCCGAGTAGGCTCTAAAAATCCCAAAAAATTTCGGAAAACAAAAACCACGAAAAATCGGAAACAAGTTAAGAAAAGTCGCGAAAAAACCAAAATCAAATCTCGCCAGAGTCCTGAAAAGTAAAAACAAGAAAATCTGGTACTATACTTACTGGTATCGGTCCAATCACTCAAGGCAACTTCAAGACCATAGTCGTATCTAAAATGAAAATATGAATATGATTTCAAAATCAATGTGGTGATTTCCCATATGTTTTTTCTTACCTTTTTCGCTTAAACTAGGACTCACCCCTTGAAAAAACTGCAGAGACTGATTACTTCTCAAGGCAGAGTCGTTCACAGCAACAACTGAATATACCCAGCAAGGAGAGGGTGTTGTTAAAAGGCATCATACAAGACTTTAACCGGCATACTTCAACGTCAGCCATAGCCCCGGAGTACATGGAAAATTATACAAATAACAAAAGTCGTATCGAAGCCGAAGCGGCACCTGCTACCTCCGCAGACGATCTCTACACTGATGAACTGGACATATTCGCACGGCCGTCCATGGACAAAGGAGCGTTGAGCAATAATATGGACAAAGTAGATGATACGTTTTCTGTTGAAGAACCGTTAGCGCCGAACATCAAAGGGTGGAATGAACTGGACTTGGCGGACGCAAATATATTCCTGAACTACGTCAAGCCTCATGCGGGTTATCCAGCTAAGGAGGCAGCCGAACCACTGGAACTGTATTACTATGGCAACTTTTACTAACTTCCTGAAACATTATCTTAAACGCAAATCAAATACGTTCCTGATGTGGTGGCACGTAGACAGATGTTTAGAATAGAGCTAAGTATATATAAAAATCCGTATGCTAATGAAATTTGAAATTGTGACGAAGCAATATACGTTGTAAATACATCCATATGTGCTGAAATATGTACTTAGTTTGTATGTATGTAAGTATGTATTTCATATGCAAACTGCGGGGTTAAAAAAAAAACATGAGATACATATATGTATATGTATACGTAATGCATCCGAAGGTGTATGCGCAAATGAAAGGCACGTATTTCCCGTTTTGTTCAAACAAGCGAAAAGTAAACGTTACATACGAGCGAGTAAAAAACTGGAGTTACCTTTCTTAACTTAAAAAACTGCACATGCATTGCGGTCATTTAAAAAATTAGACACACATTTTTGCCGAACGTAAATTTGTATCACTTAAAAATTGCGCACAGATTTATGTTTAGTACAAAACTAGAAATAGATTTTTAGTAATTTAAAACCTGTGCTTAAATATTTGGTCATTCATAAACTGAATAGAATTTTTCGCCTTTAAAAGATGAATAAGAAAGCTAAATGGTTACAAATGGATAAAGCTGTTTTCATATCTAATTTCCAAAGGCTTAACATTTTTTTTTAATTAGCAAAAAAGTATTTTCAATTTTGAAATGTCAAGTAATTTATGTCTAGTCTTTACAATACCAAACAATTGTTATATTACCAAAAACTATGTTAGTTTTTATATTACCAAAACGAACACTGCCGTTGGTTTGGTTTGTATGGACGGGTCGCTGTCAAAAAACCTTTGTTGCGACAGATAAACGTTCGTAAACGACTCAAATGGGCAAAAGTACTTACTTATTGGTCTATCGAACAATAGAAATAGGTGTTATCGACCGAGGAGTCCAAATTCGAAATTTTTGCTAGCAAACGGCGAATATACTGCCGGAGAACAGCCGTATGAACGGCAGCCAATAGTTAAGTTTGGCGATGGCAGTGTGATAGTATACGAGAGTAGCTATAAATACAAAAAAAAGTGTGTTTTAAAACGGGTACATTAGACTGCATCACCAAAAAGACGAACATTTTAAAGACGTCCACCAAAATATTTCGGCAAAATATTAAGATTTAAGTGAGCTGGACCGATTTAAAAATTCCTCCAAAAATGCAGTTTTTTATGAATACAAATAGTTTCTTAAAGATTTTTTTTTTGGGAAAATCCCCTCAGATGACAAAACAGATTAAGCTTAAAAAATCTGCATAAAAATGAATGAGATTTTTAATGTTGTTTTTTTACTTTTTTCAAAGATTGATTTAGGAAAAACTTGAATAACTGGGCCAAAACTATTCTGATTTAGACTTATGGGATCTCAGTAGAAAGGTATTTTCACACTGTTTTTATTTCTGCCCAAAAAAAGTCATTCATGCCCCAGTTATCCTTCCTTTCTCGTTCATCCTTTAAATAAGTTTATTAGCAAAGAAATAAAAAGGGTGAGAAAATACCTTTCCAATGACGCCTCTTAAGTCTAAATCGGAAAGAGTTTAGGTTCAGTTATTTAAGTTTTTCTTATACAAATCTTTGAAAAAAGTTAAAAAACAGCATCAAAAATCTCATCATTACGATTCCGCTCACATTTTTTTTTTAATTTTTTTTTATATTTTTATGCAAATTTTTTAGCTTAAACCGTTTGTCATTTGAGGGGATTTAAAAAAAAAAAAAATCTGTAAAAAACTATTTTTATTCATAAAAACTCCATTTTTGGAGGTATTTTCAAATCGGTCCAGCTCACGTAAATCTTAATATATTTCCGAAATATTTTGGTTGACGTCTCAAAATATAATCGATTTTATAATTCCAATGGAAAAATAGTACAATTTTTTTATATGGGGAGTAATGCAGTCTAATGTACATATATGTATGTATGTATACGCACACACCTAAACACATTAATAAGACTAACTAGCCCTTTTTGTAACACAAAGAAGTTCCCGAAATAGGCTAGTTTACAATTACTAGCAAGTTTTTCCAATTTGGATAAGTGAGCAACTTTGCGAAGTGTGTTTCATGAGGACAATTTTGTATTTCGTGCAATTTCTGTCATTAAATTTTTTGACAAATATTAATTTAAAAAGTTGAACAAATTAAACTCAAATTTAAGTTAATATTTAAGTCTTTTCGCAGTCATTTCGGAAAAGCGTTGAGCGCAAATCGAAATGAAAGTAATATAAATAGCTGATTGAGGGTTGCACAGCAAACTGCGCAAAAGGCTTTCCATAAAAATTTTGGCATTTCGTTTGCGAGAGTTTAAAGTTGCACAGTTGGCCCAATTGTCGAGGGTTTTGCGCATTTAAATGAGTATCCTTACTATGTTTATGCTTCATTACTACTCAGTTGTATTCAACATGGTTAGAGCCATAGAGAAAACCACTCAAGAGGGGTAAATTCAACCCACATGCATAAACACCTCATTAAAACCGAGTTGAAAAATATAGTTGGTTAGAATGTACAGATTTTTTTCTAATCAGTAGAAATCTTAACTCGGGTGCATGAACGGTTTTTGTGTTGAGTTTACTCACGATTTATATTAATGTGTGTAATTTTCGGCAAAAAACTATGAGTTCAAAGTAAATGTAAATAACTAAATAAATCTATATTATGAAACGAAAAATTCCTTCCCCGATTCAATCGTTAATTTCATGCAACAAAATAATAAATGGTGCAAAAAGCTGACTGGTTGTTTACCTTAATCCTATTTACTTAATCCATTTGCTGCATTTGGTTTTCAAATGATATTGAAAACTGGCATTTGTTAGTTACTGGCTCTACCCGTGTTCAACAGAGTCTCGTAGAAATTAAACATAAACATGACTTCTTTGGAAGTCTTGAGATATTGGGCTTTGAAGTTGAGTAGTGATTATTGAGCTAAATTGTAGAAATTGTTGATCAACTTCAAAGCGCTATATCTCAAGAAATATCGATGTTAGTGATTTGGTGTTCTAGAACTTTTTTGTATAAAATTGATTGGCCTACAAGTTTGTCATGCACAACTTTTCTGTATCTCTTGTTATTTACGAGATTTTTTATATGGGAAATCTTTGCACGCATTGGGCGAGTACTTAATGTTAATATTAAGGGTTAAAATTTTCAGGGAATTTTTGTTTTAGGTGTTTTCCACAAAAAAAACAATAGTGGCAAAAAAAGCACCCTAATATATACGCGGCGTTGCATAGTTAGAAGACCGCCACATATTAACAAGTTTTGACCATTTATTTTTATATTATTTAAGTTCAATTATTTTCTCATAATAATATAGTTCATTCTATAACAAACAACACACAAATCCATACTTCCAACTTTGTGCAAAATTTATAAAAATTCAGCAAAATATTTAACACTTTTTTTAAGAATTTTTGAAAAAATTTTGCGTATGTAGCCCAAGCAATTTTAGTAAAATTAAGTGCTAGTTTCATATGGCTACAAACTACCGTTGAGTTTTGAAAAATTTTGTTGTTGACTGTTGTTAATTTTCTTTCAAATAAAAAACTTTTCCAACATACTTTGTACGGAAGAAAATGAATGACACCGGCAACAAAAATATTGACAAAAACGATATTTTGTAGCCATATGAAACTCGCATTTTATTATACTAAAATTGAATGGGCTATAAAACTACGCACGCAAAAATCTTCCAATTTGCTGAATTTTCACAATTCCTGCACAAAGTTTGAAGTTTGGATTTGTATGGTGATTGTTAAACATAAATAGTCAAAATATGTGGCGGTCTTATTATTATGCAACTCAGTGTATATTTTTCTAACGGCGTTTATCTAAAATTGGTTTTAAAATTGGTACATACATCGTATAAAAGGTATTTATTTTTATTTTTAACTTGACTTAAATTATTTTTCAAATCGGACGAGAAGTTTCTGAGATATTATACACATAAAACATTGTAAAGTTGAACTTTAACCTCTTATATTTTCTTTGGTTTTTACTTGCGCTTTTTTATGGTTTAAATAAGCGTAGAGAGTTGTATCTGTACGCAGTTTTTACTTTTTTTATAGCTTAACCGTTGGTATTCTAGACTTGTTCCAATAACGCAATCGAGCCAGTGATGCCAGCAATTTTCAGTAAGAAGAAGTTTACCTTTTATTACTAATACAACTAGAAGCTGTAGAGTAACATTTTGCACTAGTAAAGGTGTCGATTTTAAGTGTGGAAGCGAGAAGACTGTTTTATTACAAAACCTTTCTATTACTGGATCATGCTGGTTTGTATCAAAGGAAACAAAGAGATCGAACATCGATGAATTCTAGGTGGCGGTCCATTGACGGGTCCAATTCTTTCTGAAACGGTTTTAACTCACACCGTTTTGATACGCAACTTTACTTTTGGTAGGATTTGAAGTCTGTTGGTAGGGAATATTCATGTCTGAGTTGCAAGACTGGACATAACGAAATCATGTACATAGTACATATCCACTTTATTTATACTAAAACACCTTTATTGATATCAATTTGTTTCAAAACTTTAAAAACGAATTACAACTATAACTAAATTGGAACTTCTCTAATCTCAGCAAGGACAAAGAAATAAATTCGATTTTTTATTTGCATAGCTTATTCTTTTAGGGCATCTAAAAAGTTATTCTAAAGTTCATTGTCTAGACTCTGAAATGTATATACTTACGGGCTCTAAAAGCCGAAAAAGAATAGAAATATGCTTTTTTAAGGCTTTATGATTGAAAATATTCATGCTAAATGAAAAACTTATACTAAAATGATACTAGATTTGTCAGAGAATGGAGAGATTTAATCCATTTATTTATTTTTTATAGCATTTTAAAATATAAAGATTCTTTTTAAATATTAATAAAATTCAGTTTGTTGCAATTACGATGTTTGCTGGCGATGTAATTGCACTGCTTGTAAAAGAAGTTGCTTTTGTTATTCGACTTTCGTCGAAGTTCGATAAAAATTTTATATCAAGGCTATACCTCGTTCAGCAATATCATTAACATATTTAATACTCTTAATCGTCTCCAAGACAACCAGGGGTATTTTTCAGAGAATTTAATGCCCTACAAGAATATGCCTAGAAAAGATCTTAAACGGTTCAATAGTTATAACCAGGGAACGGATTTTATGGAAATTGCCTTTTTTTCTGCTAAAGACATAGAGTATATTCGATTAAGAA